AATTCTAAAGAGTCCGTTAAAGTAAACATTTATTGTTGTAACTTCAGCTCTAATTCCTTCCGATGAAGACACTTGGCATCTGCTATATATAAATCGACTACTTTTCTTATTTTTTCAAACTGTGATTTTAGTCCTTTGCAGTTGTTTATGTTCAATTTTTGCATTGGGTACAGATAATTACTTTGTAATTTTTATATTGTTGCACTTGTTTTTATTGGCTGGACAACCAAGGCTCTATAACGAACACGAAAGAAAGTGTCAGGGGCCGTAAAGAGACCGAAGCAAATTAGCGTATTGTGGCCAACCACAGAAGAATTGAGTTTGCACTAAGCAGGTGGTCTATCTCTGGCCAGTTTAAAAAGGAGATGCAACAATGTTATATTAGTCAGAGGAGAATTGTTATCTTAGAGAGAGTTTCTTCAGGCCAATTAAACAGAGGTAAAGTCTTTTTAACAAGTTTTTTGGTGATGTCATGTGGCTAGATCTCCTCAAAAAGAAGTTCTTTTAACACTTTGGAAATTATTTCCACCCAGCCTCCGACCATCAATTTAGTAACATTTTGTTTTTTTCGTCCTCAGATTAAACAGCTTGAAATCTTCTTCGCATTCCGAGTTCAGTATGAAAAGAACCACACAAGAAAAGTTGAGGGAGCATCTCTTTATTGACAAAAAGAAAAGCATCAGCAAAATCACCATAGCTGGCGTAGGACAAGTAGGCACTGCGTGCGCGTACAGTATTATGCAGCAGGTAATGCCATCTCTTATAAACATAGATTTAACCGTTGTCGACCGCTTTGGTCGTTTTCGTTCCAAAAGCATCGATGTATATTTTCTACATTGAACTATTTAATTTTCAGTTTAAGGTATTAAGATGGTAAGCAATAAATTTAGCACAAGCATAGATTTCTCCACAGTTACCTCATTTTAAAAATTCTGACCAATCCTGACAGAGTTAAACACGAAAAAAAAACAACTAAGCGACATTTTAGGGAAAAATCCACTGCCAACCTCGCTATTCACCTACTACTACACCTACTACTCTTTGTAGATTAAAGTTGTCTCTTCCAAGAAAGTATTACATGCGAGAGGGACGATAAAGTGGGCAACAAAAAGGGCTATGCGTAGTGTGAAAAGATAGACAAAAGGGGAAAAGAGGGCAAGAGAGAAATATCGAAATAGATTCGCAAAATAAGGCCAAAACTTTCCTCATGCGAATGCACCAAAAAAAAAAACTTCGTAAGGTGGCTCGAATGCTCGACTGTATACCTCCTCACTTTGAGCGTTTACCATGTCGGCAATTAACACAGATATCGGAACAAATTTACCACAGCTGCACTGTATAAAGATGAAAAATTGTTATCATCCATGTTTTATTAACATCAGAGTTACCATGACAAAATAATGACGCTATTACGTCTTTTACTTGCCTTTGTATTTCTCGGTACTTGGAGTTTTTTTTTCAGAAATCGCTATAAGGGAGCTTGTACTTCCCTTAGTTGCCTCGGTTATGGCAAAGTTTGAACAAATTCTATAAGAGCGTTTTGGAAATATTTTGAAACAAAGTTTTAAGGGTTATTAAAAGAGTAAATAAACATGCTATGACACAATTAGCTGGAAATGCAGTTAAATCTCATAGTGGTTTGATTCAATCTGAAAAAAAGAGAGGGATTGCTTCGGCCGATTGCAAGAAAGAGAAGTTTGATTATAAATCCATTGATTTCAGCTACGATTTCGAACAGTGCCTGAAAGCTTGGTGCGAGTTCATAGAGATTAGTCACTGGGAAACCATTTTTTCGAAAATGCTGGAATTTGTTATACGCGATTTATCGACGATAGCTGACGTGATAAGTGTTAACATCGCACGCCGCGCCTTACGATAACGTTTGATGTTAAGACGCTCTAAAACAAGAAAACAACAGCAGAAAAAGCTTTTTTATCAAAAGAAACAGGAATCAGGAAAAAAAATTAACTTTGGTCCTTCATCAGCCGTTTCCAACTGGACTGGGCTGGCTCAGGGCTGGCCCAAAAATCACATGAGATCGCCTGTTAAAATTACAACAAAAATTGCGCGAAAAATCTCCTCAGTGTGAAAACTGGCCATGGCATTCAAGCAATAGGCTCAAAGACTGCATAGTTCTCTTTGGGCATAGTCTTCTCCTGGTAAATGTTGTGGTAAATGCACGACACAGGCCAATCCGCTCCCTCAGATTGGAGTGTTCATTTTCCTCAGCTAGAATAAGTGAAATCAGTTCACTTTGAACTGTTTGATTCCGTAATCATATTTTGACCGGCGAACGTACCAAAGAGGTGCAACTCTTGGTGAATTATAAATTCCCCAGTGTAGGAGTTTAATTGCTAGTCAAACGTTGACTGAATAGGAAAAAACAAGAGCGGAAGGCGATTGCTTGAAAATTAATGTAATGTTGTTCATTTTGCTTCCAAGGATATATGCCAAGAACTGGTTTCAATTGGTAGACGCCAGGACAGCCTTAAAGGAGAGATGATGGACTTACAGCACGGTTTGCGGTTTGTCGAGGAAACCAGCATCCGCGCTAGTACTGGTAAATACTACTCGAAAATACAGAATTGCCGAATTCATTCTACTGACAAAAGTAGAGGCGTGTGTGGCCGAGCGGTTAACACCTCAAACTCCGGATCTGGAGTTCCGGATTCAAGTCTCGCCCGTCGCGTTGTTTCCTCGGACAAGGAACTCTACTCCACTTCGTTTCTCTTCATCCAGATGTATACCAGCGACATACTGCTGGGGGGTAACCCTGCGATAGACTAACATCCTGTCCAGGGGGGAGAAGCAATGCTCCTAGGCATGCTTCATGCTAGGGAAACCGGGATAAGCTCCGGCCATCGCCTTTGGCTCGGGTGCGCCTTTACCTTTACCTTATACTACTAGAAATCGTGCCTCGAAAACGGCTCCTGAATATTTGCTTCAACCAATCAGAAACAATATCCTGAGCTGGGTAGCGAACGTCATCGGTATGGAATTTCTCCGCTCGTTCCTCTGACTTCATTTTGCGGGAAACCAGCCGGTCGCGTCTCAAAATGTCGGCTGTTTTCTCAGGCTAATTAGAGAACGCTCTCTTCTTCACTTGTGTCAGAGGGATTATTTTGAGTCCTGTTTGATTTCTTTCTTCATATTTTAGATTACGCTTTCAGTGCCAACTCAAACCTGTGCATAGTAACAGCGGGTGAACGTCAGAAAGAGGGACAGAGTAGAAGAGATCTGTTGCTGAGAAACTTTGAGATTTTCAAAGGTAGATTTCTTCATCTTGAATGCTAACATGTAGTAGATAGACAACTAACGAAAATGAGCGAGGAGGGACGGCTGTATTCAAAGGCTAAATCGTCGTGGAAAACACACAACCACTTCGTTTTTTCAAAGTCGAAGGCTTCTCGGCGGAAAATTTGTATACCCGCTGGCTGAGAGGGTTTAGAACTTAGTTCGTGGACATGGAAAGTANCGAATTCATTCTACTGACAAAAGTAGAGGCGTGTGTGGCCGAGCGGTTAACACCTCAAACTCCGGATCTGGAGTTCCGGATTCAAGTCTCGCCCGTCGCGTTGTTTCCTCGGACAAGGAACTCTACTCCACTTCGTTTCTCTTCACCCAGATGTATACCGGAGACGTACTGCTGGGGGGTAACCCTGCGATAGACTAACATCCTGTCCAGGGGGGAGAAGCAATGCCCCTAGGCATGCTTCATGCTAGGGAAAGCGGGATAAGCTGCGGCCATCGCCTTTGGCTCGGGTGCGCCTTTACCTTTACCTTATACTACTAGAAATCGTGCCTCGAAAACAGCTCCTGATTAGCTGAATATTTTCTTCAACCAATCAGAAACACTATCCTGAGCTGGGTAGCGAACGTCATCGGTATGGAATTTCTCCGCTCGTTCCTCTGACTTCATTTTGCGGGAAACCAGCCGGTCGCGTCTCAAAATGTCGGCTGTTTTCTCAGGCTAATTAGAGAACGCGCTCTTCTTCACTTGTGTCAGAGGGATTATTTTAAGTCCTGTATGATTTCTTTCTTCATATTTTAGATTACGCTTTCAGTGCCGACTCAAACCTGTGCATAGTAACAGCGGGTGAACGTCAGAAAGAGGGACAGAGTAGAAGAGATCTGTTGCTGAGAAACTTTGAGATTTTCAAAGGTAGATTTCTTCATCTTGAATGCTAACATGTAGTAGATAGACAACTAACGAAAATGAGCGAGGAGGGACGGCTGTATTCAAAGGCTAAATCGTCGTGGAAAACACACAACCACTTCGTTTTTTCAAAGTCGAAGGCTTCTCGGCGGAAAATTTGTATACCCGCTGGCTGAGAGGGTTTAGAACTTAGTTCGTGGACATGGAAAGTAATGTTCATAGGGCGGGAACCAACACTCACAACCAGTGAGTGCGGTTTTTCTATTTAACCCATGAAAAAATCCTTTTGTGGAGTTTGAATTCTTATTTGGACTTCAAATCCTTTTTAGGTACTGTATTAAATAATGTTACAGCATATTGCATCCTCCTCGCTTCCGCAGGAGTCACTATAGGGACCCTACGATCCGACAAGGGCGACGTCCATAAAAAAACGTCGCTGGGGAAAAATAGACTCAGCATCCTTTCGGACCATTTTACCATTATTCAAGTCGCCCAGTTACTTAAAAGAAGGGAATTTATTTTGGAGATGAAGAGAGGGGACCGCGCACGAGTTCAGACAAAGATGGTAGAATCTATCGCCTTGCCGTTCCCGTAGTCAAGTAAACTCAAAAATTGGTCATTTCACGCCGTGGTTGTGCACGAACGGCAAAGAAATTTACAAAAAAGCGTGATGCACGTGCAGATTTGTTGTTTGCTCATTAAACCAACTGCTTTTTGACGTTCCCGTTGCCGTCGTCGTCGTGGTTTCGTAAGGTCCCTACTGTTCTGTTTTAGAGAACGGGTGGAAGATTGGGGAGAGAACGGGGAGGGGAAACTCCTCCTCTTTTTTTCTCCTTTTCTCGTTCTCAGTAAAAAGGAGTAGCCTGTGGTTGAGGCTAAGTTTATTGCAACCACCTGATGGTTTAGTCGATTTTCAAACGTGGAAAAACGTTCAACCACACGACGGACCTGTTAAAGTCAGTAAATACTAGAAATAATTGCATGTACACATTGCGGACCTATAACTGTATTGCAAGATTACGTACGTGGTCGCTGCCGCCTATTTCCCATTCGTAAACTGTCGTTGCTATTTTTAATAGTCGATGCCACCAGTGATAACCAACCCTTAATTAAGTCATGATAGAAGTAATATCTTCTCTGGAATAAGTTACAATAAAGCAAAACCGACTGCGGCTAATGCACGTTCAGTCCTTTCCGAGCGCACCCACCTTAGGGTCATGTCACGACAGTTTTGTTGAAAAGCCGAGACCGGTTCTTTTATTATTCATCGTGGGTTTAGCACATTGTTTTAGCTCGTCTGGTATTGAAAAAAAGAGCGAAGGAAAATACCTGAAATAATTTGGTGTCTAAAATAAATTTTTATTTTGAAACGTTAACGTTTATGATTTTACAGATATCATTCCAAAGTTGGTAAAGCACAGTCCCAATACCGTACTGCTGGTTGTTTCCAACCCAGGTAAGAGAACAAAAGCTAGGGACCTGCATAGTGCTTACTGTGGTCATGAAGACTTGAACAGTTCTTAAACAGTTCCAAACGTTATTTCAAAGAAAAAGGGATATCCTAAGCGTGAAAACAGGCGAAGCTTGTTAAGATTCTTTCAGCGTGAGTTACTCTTGACAACACCCAGGTAATTAAAGGTCTTCAGGAAGTCCTTTGTTGTTTTCTGCGGTTTAGTTTTCGTTTCCTCTGGCTGCATGTCTTTCCTACAGTTGCCGTCCTCCGAATTTCTTACCGGTTTCCAACAAAAGAGCAACGGGCGCACATACCTGTGAAAGAATGTGTGTCGTTCCTCCGCGTCGTTCCTCGTGGGATAGAACTAACTGAAAAGTCACTCGTGTAGTCCTAACACTCTCAATCAAGTTAAGGGTTGCACCATTTGCTCCTCCTTTGTTTCAGTTGTGGTAGTTTTATGTAAAATTTATATTTTTACTGTTTAAAAATGTGCATATTTCTCAGTCTGGCTTACCTCGATTAGTCCTTCGCATTTTGCAAGCCAGCCTTATCTGTAATAACTATGTAAAAAGGAAGGGTGAATTAAGCGTGAAGTGCGAATAAAGTGTTAAGTAGTGTAAACTCTGCTATTCTTGATTACAAGCCGCTGTTTGGAAATGAGCCTGCGGAACAAAGAGGAATTAAGTCTACCTTAAGGTTGCACACGACGTGACACTGAATGTATAAGACTCTCACGACTACTGCGACTCCTGAATTCACCAGTATAGCACTATTTGTTTTATTTTTATGCTTTAGTTGAGGTCTTGACGTACGTGGCGTGGAAAATCAGCGGTCTTCCAGCAGATCGTGTGATAGGAAGTGGAACCAATCTGGACACAGCTCGGCTTCATTTTTTCATCGGCGAAAAGCTAAACATCCCACCAAACAGTGTGCATGGCTGGATCATTGGAGAACATGGCGACTCTAGTGGTACGTAAAGGATGAATCGCAAGTCACTCCCTCCCGGGGCCGCTTTTAACGCGGTTAAGCCATCCCTCTTCCCGCCCCGCTGCTAACCACAACACCTACAGACTAGTCCCAGCACTATCTTTACCCTAACCTTTCTTGAACTTGAGTGTACATCAAAGATCGACCATAGGCTTCTTCTACGTCACAATACGAGCAGTCTGTCATTTCCCACGGGGAGAATACGCGAACGCCGGTGGAAATATTGCCTCCATCCGGAGAGTTAACTCGCGTGATCGCACTTAGGCGCTCTTGTAAAAAAAACGCGAGATCAGCTTGTCAACCTCTCTCGCGGGTGTCAGTTTCACCCGCGCTCGTATATTTTTTCTCTCGACAAATCAAGGACTACATATACCCTAACTAAATGTAAGATCCGTCAATCGCTCAATCTGCAAAGTACCCAAGTTTGAGTGTTCCGCCCATGTTCTCGATTTGTTTCCAAATGAAACGAAACATCGAGTTTTTCACTCCTCCTTTTTACCATCTCGCCCGCCTGGCTCTGAGGAAAGAAAGACGACCGCTCGCGATCTAAGTTTTCGAATCCCGATTCAGGGGAATTGTCGTAAAAAAGAATTTTTTTGCTGCTCTCTTTATACAGTGCCTGTTTGGAGTGGCGTTAATATTGACGGCGTGATGCTCAAGGATCTCAACCCACAGATAGGCACAGGAGCGGACCGTGAAAACTGGAACGAGATTCACAAGAAAGTTATTATGAGGTAAAGTCGTAGAATTCGTTATAAACATCCTACATTCAATTTTCAGCTTTAAGTTGCTGCTAATCAATTAATTGTAGCCTGTATTCATCGCGTGTTCATAGCAACGCGTAGTGCATGTTCATCGCGTTCACGGACGCGCGTCTTAATTTTCCCTTCAATCGCCTGCGACGAGTGCCGCGAACCATTGCCTTTCGTTATAGTACAAAACAGAAGCATATAACCTATATGCTTCTGTACAAAACTAATGAATTGTAGCTTGCGTGGATGTGCCTCTACTGAGTTCTCGCGCGCCTTTAATTAATTCCTTCTTCAAACGAGGTTTCTTATAAGCAAAGCAGACTAAACTCAGAGGGTCGATTATCAAATCTAAGACAAATTTAGACTTAAAGTTTTATTTAGTTACTCTTTCCACAGCATTTCAGTTTTGTCTCATGGCGCGAAAGGACACCTCATTTGCATGTGTTCACGTGAACATTTGAAAATAAAATCCGTAGTCCATGTTCGATTATTAAAGCTGACCTTTTCTCCTATTTAGCGCATATGAAGTGATTAAACTCAAGGGCTACACTTCCTGGGCAGTTGGTCTCAGTGTCGCTAACATTAGCAAGGCGTTACTAGGAAATATGGCGACCGTCCAGGCCGTCTCCACCATCGCAAAGGTAACTGACTTACCATGTTGACTTTCAAAACCTTCCTTTCTTTTCCTCATCACAAAAGTTAGCACGCTTATTTCCGTTGAAGGAGGTAAAGTCCTCTCCCGATCGCTAAATGATAAAATTCCTAAGATTTGATGCCTTAGGTCAGCATTCATCTATAAATGATAACCGATAACTTGTTTTCGCCACAACGAAATTCTTGCTAAAACTCATAGTAGACTGGCGACGGCTACCCAGTTTTCCCGCTAAAATGACGTTAGTTGGCGCGCGTGCCCAGTTTTTTTCCAGCCTCGTTTTCTAAACGAGACAAGCTTTACGAGCTTGGAGCTTTACGTTTCTTATCATACTTTTCAGGGGCGGATCTAGGGGGAGGGTGCAGGGGGTGCGCACCCCCCCTGAGATGACCTGCGGTTTTCTAATACAACTGGTATTCTGCAAAAAAAAAAGAAAACTATGTGGTTTATTGGTGTTGAAGTAGAGCAAGAGACGAGTGCACCCCCTCCTAAGAAAAATCCTGGATCCGCCCCTGCTTTTACTGCTGCTTTTGCTTTTGAAGCGACGAATCATTCGAGATTCGGGCATTAACTTTTAATTACGGCAGTACATTTATTTGTTTAACGCTCCTTTACAATTTTTCAAATACAACTTCTGTCTAAATATCAAAAGCTGTCACCGTCAGCGTGGACAATTCTCTCCAAGAGAGCTCATTCTCTCTTGTTCTCTCTTAATGTCAAAGACACCTAATTTGATTTAATCCCCATGTCTATGATACGGCTCTGAATTGCGGCCTCTAAGCTCTCTCTTTTTTGCCGTTCCACGATAGTATCAACTGAGATTATTCTCGTCCCCAGAGCCCGTCGTTTCTTTTGGTCACGTGGCCGAGATTTATGTGGTGGATGTATGTGAAGGGGTTGCTCTGATTAACCATTCCTATTTTTTTTTAGGGATTTTACGGGATCAAGGAAGAGGTTTTCTTAAGTTTGCCCTGCGTTCTTGGCCCCCATGGGGTCAAGTCCGTCGTGAGCCAGCAGCTAGATGAAAACGAGGTTAACCAAATTCAGGGATGCGCGCGTATCATGCAAGAGCTGCAGCAATCTCTGGTGTTTTGATTGAGTTCGAGATAAAGCAGGAAAAAGGACAATAAGCACATGTACAACTTGCATTTTTTTGTAAGTCATCGTTTCTTTTTTCTTGCCGAGGAACAAGAAATTGAAATAGTTTTATTTCGTTTTCATTACACGTTTTCACGGCCATATGTATTGGACGACCTTAGCAAAAATCCTTTGGTTTTAGCAAGACGGCTCCTACAAGGGGCTAGGACTAGATAATCATCTGGGGCAATTCTTTGTTTTTTGTTGACAAATTGCGTCGCAATAAATCAATTAGACGTTGGTCAGTAAATATAAGATCAAATTGATAGAAATGTGGGAAATGATATTGCTGCGCACCGTCAAGTCCAAAAACAACATAAACAATAAAGAAGTCCGAAGGGCTTCATAACAATCCCACTCTATTAACTATAGTGAAATGAATAAAATATAACTTCAAAAGCACGGTTGTTGTACAAATACGTTAGCTAATTAACTCAAAAACAACCAATAAAATTTGTACATTTCACTTTGTCTTTCTGTTTTTAAAATTTGTTATTGTTTTCTGATAATTTCCAGTTTTGTATTGCTGAAATATTAGGGAAATAATAAATTAAGAAAACTTTTTTTTCAGTTGTTGATAAGTGTTGCCTGATTTCTTTACAACATTTTTTCATGGTCCTGAATACAGAGGCGAAGATTTCGGTATCCGGCTACAATCCGGATCAGCTGGTGATTTTACCTGAAGTGTCTCGAATCTCGACTATTTTTGGTTCTAAATTCATGGTTTTGCCTTTGGTCGAATTCCCCTTATGAGACGAAAAAGTCGAAAAGACGTTCGAGGAAACATCAGAAATTGGAATTTTTTTTTCATCAAACCCGACCATTGATCATCATCATCATCATCATCATCATCATCATCACTGTCAGTCATCATCACTATCGATCATCGATGTAGTCCTTTCCGTGCCACGTTTCGCGTGGCGCACAAACCGAAGAGTCTCCTTTCCTCCTGCCCACCGAATACCAGGGAAAAGAGCATCTGCTAGCAGGTAAAGTGCGATTAGCCTGTGTACAGACGTCCCCCTCAGATTTTTCTTGAGCTAGGGGGGGACGTCTTTACACAGGCTAAGTGCGATATACCACTCAAACTCATTTGTTCCTTGCTCTCCCCGCTGACTCTAAGAATCTCTTGGTCTCTGCTTGTTCATTTTTCTGCCGATATTCAACTCAAAGCAATTCTGCACAACTTATCAGATCCACCCAAGAGAGCCTTAGCAATTTTCTAAGCGCAGACAATGCCCCACCCAATCACGTTTCCTTGCGTTGAAGAATGCCTATACCATCCGGTCTCTTTGTTGAATTTACCGCGGGGCATTTTAGCTTTTTCTAAACCAAGGGAGTAGTACGTGTATCAACATGTAACAAAAATTGTGGCATATCATTAAAAACTGTCTGGATATCGATATGAGATTTATACAAAACATTGCCATGAAGTATAAATTTATGTTTACGAATAAAGCAGGAAAAAAGAAAACAAAATTACTTTTCCAGCTGTCGCGAAAATGCTCGAATCATAAAAGTCAACTGATTTGACATCATTCTGTAATATTACACAGGGGCGCTTTGTCACAATAAAAATTTGTTGTCTTAGGTGAAAAGGCCGCACTTGATTGGCTCAGTCAAGCACATCTCATCATCGACCGAGAAAATATCAATAATATCTATCTGTTGTCTGGCATGGCCATTAGCGGCAAACTAGCGTGTTGTTAATTGCAAAGCAGAATTATTCATTCGCTGGGAGCTTTACTGTGTACAGACTCTCATAGCGGGGGTATTTTATGTCAACGCAGAAGAACTTTGCATCTGATCGCTCGAAGGTGTGCTTGGACATTTATCAGCATTCAAAGACCTCGATACCTCTTGAGTCAAGGACCTAGTTGTTCTGTGTCAAGTGTTGTCACGGCATATAAGATGAGTTTAATTTTTTCCTCTTGAGGACAAATTGCTTGGACTGCGGGAACTCGACAATCGATATAAACCCGATAAATCTTTATTGCTGACCTCAATTTTCGCCAACTGTGGGTCAAATGCAACTGCTTCGCGGATGGCTGCGAAGTGTAACTGGATTATTGGTCAGCTTTTAGCGGTTTGGATTAAGATCTGTTTTTCTTCCTGTGGTGACCTTATTCAAGCGGAATCGGGAGACATTCGTTTTCCAGTCAACGGAGGAAATGTTGGCGAACGAACACAATGTGTTTGGACGATTTCAGTGCCCGAGAGATTTCGCGTGAAGCTCACATTTACAGATTTTGTAATGAAAACAACATGTTGTTCATGCCGACACGATTATTTAGAAATCCGCGACGGTTTGCTGCACAATTCAACTCTCATCGGAAGATATTGTGCTAACAGGCAGCCTAAATATGTTTACTCATCACAAAATGTTATATGGATTAAATTTGGTTCGGATTTTCGGACGTTCGAGGGAAATCGATTTCGGTTGTCCTACGAAGCTGTTTGCGGACGCCATTTCTCAGAAACCTCGGGAGGTTTTAGCTCCTTTGGATTTCCTTTGTCGTACAAAAAGACCAGAGATTGTATTTACAGTATTGAAGTCCCAAAGGGAAGAATCAAAGTGAAGTTCGACAGCTTCAGCTTGGAAGGTCGCATGCCTATTTGCTTGTATGATTTTCTTGAAGTGAGTGAAATCCGATCTGTAGAACTCTCAAGTTTTCAAGGACAATCTCGACGTCGTCGCTATTGCGGGAACGAAAAGCCTCCTATTATATACTCCACAAGGGGAAGTTATCTCTTTTTTAGGTTCAAGAGCAATGACTCTGGTGGAAAATCGGGATTTGTGGCTAGTTATCGTACCATTTCTGTTGGAGAAGGAACTTGTGATGGCATGCTTAAAGATAAATCTGGTCTAATTTACTCTCTAAATTACCCATATCGCTTCCCAGTTGGAAAGGAATGCGTGTGGAAAATCCAAGTTGCATCTGAGATGCATGTTCATCTATATTTTGATACACTGGAATTTGGATCAAAGGAAGAGGGCTGCCAGGATGCCAATTTGGAAATTTTTGATGGTTCAGACATTTCTTCACATAAAATTGGACGGTACTGTGGAGACCTGATACCCTCTAAAATTGTATCAAGAACAAATGAGTTGACGATAAGAGCAGTGTCAACGTTAAGGGCACAGGAAACAGGCTGGTTTTCACTGCGTTATGAGTCATCTCCTGTGAGTGCGTGTGGATTGGAGAAATTTACTTGCACCGATAGGCAATGTGTTGACAGCTATTTCAAGTGTGATGGCAAAAAGGAGTGCAGTGATGGATCAGATGAGGATGGTTGCCCTGTGGTAGAAGAGTCTAATAAATTTACATGGTACAGGTTTTGGCCTGTTAGTATAGTTGGTGGCATGCTCATTGTGGGTGTCTGGCTTTGGCGTGCATGGAAGAAGATCATGTTGGCCCGCTCTCAATTAGAGAATAATCACACCACAACTCTGCCGCCGAGTCAAATAGAAATGCTCCCATGTGCTGTCACAGGACCTCCAAGTTACACCGAGGCTGTTGCACAAGACAACAGGCCTCCACCTTCATACGAGGAAGCTCTAAGAGAACAAACAAGCCTGCAGCACACAGAAAGAAACTCTTCTCATGATATTGTAGGTGATTCTACAATAGATCACAGAACTGATAATACTGTTACTTCACCACCAGAAAATACACTTACATCCCCGGTGTCATCCATGGTGGTTTACAGAACTTCGGCATCTCCGTATGATAGCCATCGCTCGCCTTATGACAGTCATAGAATGAGTAGTGACAGTCGCAGTTCTGTGCAAAGAGTTTAACATTCAGAATTCTTCTCTGAGGTGTTTGTTTATTTAGTTAACTGAAGTCTACCATGTAAATAATGCTTCTACTAAAATTTTATACTTTGATGTATAAAGCCCTAGAGTAGCAGTTTCCTTACAAAGGCATACCTAAAGGTATATACTAGGTGCATTCCAGGTACCTGCCTTCCTCGTACTCTGTTCCACAATGGCATAAAGGCTGGTTTTTACCAGCAAAGGAGGCAGAGTCGGAGTCGTAAGCGGAGTTGCAAGAGTGTTTATGACTTAGTGAAAATAAAAAATCAGAGTCATAATCAGAGTCATAAGCGCAACAGAATAAGGAGTCAGAAGGATCAGAAAGTTTCCATTTTCTTCTGACTCAGCTTACAACTCCATTGCTTATGATCTAGTGAAAACCAGATTGTCAGAGTCGGAAGCAGAAGCGGAAGGATAAATCAATCACAATGCATGTTCCCACCTTTTGTGATTGGTTTTGCTCATCCGCTTCTCCTTGCACTTTATCGTTAGTGGAATCAGAACTCAGTTTTCTCTAGATCGTCAAGTCTTACGCTTCTGATTTAGACTCCAACTCTATCACTAGTGAAAACCAGCCTTTTAAGGCCTCCACACTTCTTTGCCAGCCTGCCCTATCCCTCTCACAAGCTGTTTCTTGTTCCCACAACCCCTATCCCAGTTCTGCTCTCTCCTTTTCTGTGGTGCTGCAACAAGTTGTCCCTGGGTGCCCAACGTTCACCTTCGATCAGAAGCCAAAGACAGTGCTGTAATACAGTGATGCCCGTTCCGCATACGCAGCACATTTCCAAGCCACGATTTAGAATTCCAAACAGTACAGTAAGAAAGTCAAGGTCAAGATGCATACCAGGTACAGGTAATAAAAATACCTTGCTGGAGAAATTCTCAAGGTTTCATTTGTATTGGAAGGTTAAGCCCAAAAGGCACCTCTTTACTATAGTATCAATAAGTATTGTTAAACGGGGAAAAGTATTTTCAACTTCTATTATTCAGCAAAGCTTTTGATTTAAACAGGGCTATAGCAACCACTTCTTTTAAGTTTTAGAGCTTTTCTGTGGACTTTCATATATAGATAGATATTATTTGCTCCTTTGGTCATTTTACATAACAGTTTGCAATAAAATCCTTTTTGGTACTACTAATAATATACTTATACTTTTCACTCTCACAAAAATAGCACTTAAATCTACGATTGTTTATAGTGCACATATCGCCATATTGCCCAAAGTTTTGAAAAATAGATGAAAAAGTGTCCAAGAAAGTATAGATGAAACAAAGTTTCAACATGAAATCCCTTTTGCTTAGATAATTATAAAAAAACATTTGATATTTTTATGTCAATGACACTGTTGTATGTATAATTTTTAGTGTGGAAAATTGTGTTGAATTATCTTAGTTTATTTTAAAAGGTACCAGTATTACCAGTATTGCCACTGTAAATATCACAGATGTTATTATATAGAGTGAATAAATACAAGGTTACAAATAACACTAAATATTGTTTTAGAGACTGGTAATAAGTCCCTGCAAAGACTGATTAGACAACATTAAAAAGGCATCGCCTGCAGGCAACACAGTTCTTAACACAATACCACAGACAACGGCACAGCATGATAAGCACTCATGACTAGAATGCAGAGATGGGTAACCTTATTTTGCTCTTTTTAGAGCTAACCCCCATCCAAAATGGTTTTTCAGGCAAGAATTTCAGCAAGAAATCCGCGAGATATGAGAGGAATAAAAAAGGAAGCAAAGGAGAGGACTTTGTAAAAAAATTGGTCAAAACATCCTATCACAAGGAAAAGCCAGAAAACAGGCTGATGCTGTTACGAGGTCATAAGGAAAAAAGAAGGAAACCCATTCCCTACAATGCGCATCATGTGCAGTGTACCACAGCTAGAAACCTAAGGAGAGTTACATATTGTAATGGAAAATTACCTATCTCATAAAAGCTTAGAATCCTAGCTTAATTCTTGATGTTTTTTGGTATCTGATCTTGTTTAGTTTTCCTAAACAGAAAGCGTGCAATCAAAATAATTCTCTTGTCTTGGGATGTCATCAGTGAGGAAGGTCATTCCATTGGTACCTCTGTACTGTACTAGGCTAACAGTGACCACCTCACTACATTTGAATGTTTTTCCATACAAATCCTTCTAATTTCGAATTTTCAAACTGTTGGGAGATACATGTATTTTCTTAAGCATTACAGGGCACAAAATCTCCTTTTAATTCATAACAGCAGGTACTTTGAGCCCTTAGATGTGTAAGGCAAAGATTTAACAACAGTTTAAAAATTTCAGAAATTACAAGGAGTTGTATGGAAAACCACTCAAGCTTGACTGAGTGGCAGTAGTTGTTTTTCTCATACAAATCCTTCAAATTTTTGGCGGCCGTTCATGTGACTACTTTTCACATACCGTAAAATTCCGAAAATAAGCCCCGGGGCTTATATTTTTCAAAGGCCCGTTTTCAGGGGCTTATTTTTGGAGGGGCTTATATTCGGCTGGGCTTATGTACAGAGGGAAATTTGCGTTTCAAAATCGATTGGGTTAGCTTATAGTTGGAAGGAAATTTACCGTTTTTGCTTTGTTTTACTTTGTATTTGAGGGCAATTTCCCACGTACAAGCCCCGGGGGGCTTATATTCGGAGGGGCGATTTCACGGAAGGTTTTTTGTGTCATGAGTTTGGGGGGCTTATATTTGGAGGGGCTTATACATGGAGGGGCTTATTTTTGGAATTTTATGGTATACGGCTGAAAATCTACAGGTTACCTAATGTTACTATGCCCTTTCAGCTTAGCTAACAGAATTTTTGCCAAAGGCATATTTATCGCTATTAGGGCCTCGTGAATTGTCAACGACCTTATCATTACACAGGCTTACATGTTGTTCAGTGAAGAATAACATAATTGGATAAAGAATATTATTATTATTTATTTTCCTTGCAAAATGGTTAGCGTAAATAACATTTTCTTGTTGATCTGGCGATTAGCGAATACTGTTTTGAGGATTAAATAAAATTTGTTTTACTATATATTTTTTCTATATGTTTTTTCAAAAATCAAATAGAGCACATACTGGCTGTTTGATACATATTCCTGAAAAAAGATCATAAAGATGAGAGCAGATAGAGATAAAAAAAAGTTGCAGCTTGGAAACTGAGTGACTAGTAAACTAAGCTTGGCATTCTTCCGTAAATCTTTGTGGTATCATTGTCAAAGCTAAATCACTGCCAATGGGTTCAAACCAGATGGCATCCTGGCCATCAATCTTGAACAGACCACAAGCGTCCTGAGCTCATGTTACGACAGTGGAATGAAAATTTACTTTCTTATAAGTCAGTCGGTGTCACATTATAGGCAATCGTTGAGACATTGTATGAGAAATAATATACTGATGAACGCGAACGCTAAATATCATTTTATTTTACCTTTTCTTCTATAAAATAAATAAAGGAGACTTACCTTTGATGTATTCCTGTGATTTTTGGTGTGAATTCATAAATTTAGTCTATTTTTTTGGCTGTTATTGTGTGACCCCTGTAACTGCAATAGCCAAAAAAGTTGACTAAACTGATTTATTTCATAGACAAAAAGTTAAAATATAATGATATTTAGCATTCACAGATCTCAGTATTTTATTTCTGTCTCAACAATCGCCATAACATGATACTGACTAGCTTGTGACAAAGTTAATTTACAATCCACTCATAACGTGAGCTTGGACACCTGTGAACAGACTAGCCTTATTACTGTTATATTTACATTAATTCCATTCTTGGGTTACACCAAAAGATTTCATCCACAATTCAAAAAAAGTACATAAAAATTACAATACAAAGTACAACTTAAAAGCACACCAACTTTCACACTTTAAAAACAAATTTATCCACAGACTTGTGACTTATGAATGTTCAGAGTTAAGACTGGGCAAAAAAGAAAACTTTCTTGGTTAGCATTATGACAGGAGCAGGCATTTGTTTCTTTCTATTGAACGATTCAAATTCTCTCGCAACTTTGCCATTGACCCTAACCAACATGCTGACAACATCTTCTGTCTTAGCATAAGCGCTGAAGACATCAACCAAGGCTTGTACAAACCACGAGCCTTTCTGCAGATGACTCCATGAGACATAACCAGGTACAGTGGAATAGGCCACCAACATGTCGGCCTCAGCGGGAATAGTTTCAGGCTCATCAACTGTCTCAGGCTTGTCATTAGGAAATGCAGCAGCAAGAAGTTCATTAGTTGAACGGGTAACATGATATTCTGTCTCAACATTAGAGCTATGACCACCGTCTGTCACGTCTGTTCCATGGTCATAATCACTCCCGCGGCAAGCTTGGATGAAAAACAACTTGGGTTTGCCAATTAGATCTTTGGCCATGTAGCCATTGAACAGTGCAAGCAGATCAGGTATGGACACAAGAACACCATCGACACCATAAATTTGCCCTTCAAGACCATGACTAAGCAGACAAAGAACCATTGAATCGGCTGCTTTGTGGTCACTCATTTTAGCAAACTGAAACAGAGTGTCTTTGAGCTGTTTGGCAGTTTGGTTTCTTACTACTTTGACCTTGTAATGTAATTGTGTAAAAAGTTCACTTAGCTGCTTTGCATCAAGATCAGAGCCACCTCTTCTGCGCAGAGTCTCAAAGTCAACATTGTTCACTATAAGACACCAGCCGTGTGGTTTACAATTCATGGGGTATACAAAATCTTCATCAGTATCTGACAGGACATTCTTTTTTACTCGTGATGATGTTTCAACATTGGATTTCACTGCTACATGATGGGCAGTATTGGTAACACCATCATTCACCTCCACTGGGTTTCCGGCAGTAGTACTTGAAACATTCCCTAAGAAAAATAAAGGGATATTAACATGACACAAAAGACTTGAGAGCCCCTACAACAGCCTAGCTTCTCCCTCCCATGTTGATTCATCTTTTACTTTCAGTAAAGTTGTTAGAATGTCTTTTGTCAGGAATGCACCCATCAACAGGGGTGTCACAAAGGGTTAGGGGGGCTGGAATTTCCTACCACTACTATGGGCGTGACCTAGAACTAGCATCTTGAAACAGAAGTGACAGCCCTGCACCATCTCCTTCACATTCCTTTAATTATTTGATTATAATTGCATCACCATGGAGACCCTTAGGACTCTTGACTGACTATTCCCCAGATTTTGATTTTGATAAGGAGCGTTCAATTTTTTATCTGCCCCCGCCCCCCCCACCCCCACTAAGGATGACAGGTAATTGAATAGGGGAATTTGGATTTTTTCTTCAAAGCAGCCAACAAAATTTTGATCCTTTAAAAAATTTTTCAAAGGTGCGGAAAAGAACGAACACTCCAGAGTTCACTTTTCAAACAAAAATTTGAGAGTTCGCATTCCAGTCATCCTTAGGGAGGGGGTGCGGATAAAAATGGAACGTCCCTAACAGTGGCACTCATCAGAAATGGTAAAAGCGTGGACTTTGTTTCTTTACTAAGGTTATTTCAAAATCTAAACTACCTATATCCCGGAAACAGGATGGAGTTATCATTTGCTGTACAAAAATATATGAAGATAGAATCATCCATTATTAGGATGGATCTTCCATGCTTAGGTGTTTGAATGATGTTGGGTTAACTAGGCACTACAATTGCAATTGACTCTAATTAATTACCTGACGAAATTGATTCATTCGGTTTCAATAAACCCACGAGATGGCCTTGTCCGTCAGTTGTCGCAAGTGCCTGACAAAATACATCGAAAGCCTTCTTTCCCCGCCGAGGCAAGATATCCAGAAGTTTTTCAGCTTTAGCACCCCGAGTCTTCTCTGCTTTGATAGAATCACGATCGTTTTCCGACAAAATGTCTTCTTGGTAAAGGTAACTCAGTAACTGAGTGGCTTCTAGATCTTGAACTAACGAGATTCTATTCTTCCTGAGAAGATCTCTGTGCTTTTTATCCATCACGAAACTTGAAAAAGCTAAATTGGCAACGAGGAAATACTCAAACGTTGAAAGTATTGCTCGTCATAAGATGAATATTCTAACAAACCATACGATTGGTTTATTTTGTTCAATGTTGCCCTTGACCAATCAAAACATTCTTTATTACGAAGAATTATCGCGGCAGTCTGGTCAGTGGTAAACTTGAGAAAAATTAAAACAAAGATGGCGGAGTTTCATGAATGTCATGGTTCTTTGGTATTTTTGAGCAACGAGAACCGTAGCGCTCGTAGAAGGAGCTCCGCCGCAGAGTTTAACAATGGCCTGATATTCAGCAAGAGACCACTCAAAGACGATGAAATATTTGAAGTGCGGTTGGACCGAAAGATAGGAAATTGGTCGGGGTCATGGGCCATTGGCGTGACTTGTGGTGATCCGGGCTGCATGGAAATTCCCTCCAGCTCTGCTGGCCTAAAAAATGGCTCGTGGATAATGTCTGGAATGTCGGTGCTGAGGGATGGATCCTCTTTTTTGGACGATTATGGTCGAGATCTCGATGAGCTTAAAGAAGGCGATAGGGTTGGCGTTCAAAGAACGGTGACCGGCAGTCTACATTTCTTTGTCAATGGTGCCGATTTGGGTGTAGCGGCGACAAATATTCCTCAGACTGTTTACGCCGTGATTGATTTGTATGGGCGATGCGCTGAAATATCAATTTATAAGCCTTACAGTAGCGCTTCAGGTAGGTGAAGACAAATGAGGGTGGTAATGCTTAACAGCCACTTTGAATTCTTGAGCCGGTTATATTATGCTGAAATTATATCGGATTAACTGCGTATTAATTGATTAAGGGTGGTTCTTTAGTTAATTTAATATTGGGAGTTGTAAACACTACGTTGGGTCTAATATTTGACTTCTACTCTACGTTAGCCTTTATCGTTTATTGAACATGTATTTTTTATGTAAGTGGCATGACCCCACGTCATTCTTCACATGTTTTTAGACCTACTGTATTTTTGTAGGAATACGTGTCTCACTGTTAGAACTTTCTGGGGCAGATTTACGATTTTATGAAAGGGGGCTCCAACAAACGACCACTGAAGGCGGAAGATTCTGTAGGGGTCCTGGAATTTTTTAATGTATTATTCTTTGGAAATACCGTAAATCCTCTATTACGGTACCGTTGAAAAGAAAGTTGACAGTCCACTGCCAGTCTCTATTCTCCACTCCATTCATGATTCTTGATTCCTGCGTGAATCGAGAATCGAGTCGAGGATCAAGTCTCGTAAGACAGAAAAAAAAAGATTCACCCATGACTGATTTCTCGATAATTTTATGTAGTCATAACAGCTGTAACACAACACGGCATGGTTTACTTGCACAAGCAACTCTATGCTCGAAACAAGACCAATTCAAGTTAAAAAGTGAATGTTTCTTCAAGGACATCTGTATCAAGCTTCATTTTCTCGAGTACAGTTTCAAATGTCTGCTCCAAATGCAAACAGACAGTGTATACTCTGTATAAGGAAGAAGGTAAATAACAGCATGTTTGTTTTGTAACGTCAAAGGATTCTGCACTTACCTGGCTACTTGGCATGATAAAGATCAGCTGTATCATACACATCTGTCTGTAACATAACGTGTTCTTTAAAGTTTGAGTTAGCCTCTCTTAAAATGGAGCTTGTTTTTCTGCAATGGAACATGATACACATGAACTTTTTTGTTGCCTAGCTCGTGACTATGACTACCATGATGAAAAATAGCAGATAGTATTGCATGAGAGTATATATTGTTTTCAAAGCTCTGTTTTCAAAGAGAGAAGGGCGAGATATATCAAACTGAGGTGCTATCGAACATTTGCAAGGTTTCAAAGGAAAGTATCACTCGAGCTGTGCGAACGAATGCAAATTTCTCGAATAACTTGAGTGTATCTTGAATTTGCATAGTTAAGAAATTTCTCACAAGAATCAAATGCAGAGTAGAGTTTATTATTTATTGAGAAGAAAGATTTTTCTGACATGAGAGAAGTTAGAAGATTACTCAAAACTTTAAACAAAGGTTGTAGATTCTGCAACAATCGAGTATCGAGAGTAGAGAGCGAATTACTCAAAACTAAACAAAGGCCGTTCCGGTTTGATGAGTCTTGCACAAATCGAGAATCGGGAATTAAGACACAGCAATCGAGAATCAAGTCTCGATTGTCGACTTGATTCTCGATGCTCGCCAGGATCAAGAATTGAGTGTCAACTTACTTTTGAACGGAACTGTAAGCTGCCCCCTCTCTAATAAGCCCTCCCTTTTCAGGGGAAGAAAGTTAATAAGCCCCCCCTCTTTTAAGCCCCCTCCCCTCCCCATTATTATTCTTCACTAATAAATGATTGAATGTATTAACCAATCACGACTGTAAAGATCATGTGGACTGATCTGGGTTGTTTTATTCACCAACTGGAAGTTCGGATTTGTGTTTGATCCTCCGCTGCATGACCTCCAACTCAGGTTTTTCACTTTGTGTTGTAGTTTCTTGTGAAGAAGTGATACCATCGTGTTTGCTAAATGAAATAAGACCCCACTCACAAATAAGACCCCCCCCCCCCCCCCCCCCCCCAATGTTTAAAAAAAAACACCCCCCCGGGGGCCTTAAAGAGATTCAACAGAAACACCCCCCCCCGGGCCCCCGGGGGGCAGGGGGGGAGCCCACCCAAAACAGAGGTGGGATAAGGTAGTGATCTGCACACAACGCAAACCACCGCGCTCTT